TCCTTACCATCCAATACACTTTATTCCCTGTCTCTCATCCACTTGATTTGTAAATCACTCATTTACTTCAGAGCCCCATGATCTATTCATTTTTAGTCTCCTATCATTCATCTACTCAGAACCCTATAAACAAAACTTGTTTGCTTTGGTCAGTTTGAGAGAATTGTTTCAGAAAGATATGGAGTAATTAAAACTCTACATTATTACTATCATTATTATTATTACGTTATTGTTGTTTTTGGTTTATATTTGTAAACACCACAGGTATAGTTGGATTTTTAGGACCTTACATAATTTAGTGATTTTTAAACATCTGAAATATTTGTTTTAACATCTAAAATATTTAAAAGGTAGCAGTTATTAGGTAACTGGTTTGATGTAATTTTCTTTGAAGCAATTATTTTTATAAACAGTTTTGGGGCTGGAGAGATGGCTCAGCACTTAAGCTGCTCTCGCTGAGGCCTAGTGCTGGATTTTCTGTACCTATGTTGAGTGGCTCACAACCCCCTGTAACTCTGGTTGCATGGTATTCAATGTCTTTTTCTAATCTCCACAGGTATCCATAGACATGTGTAAACATTTATACATATATACATACACACATAGGCATAAATATAAACAATTTTTTTTTAAAGAAAAAGGTTTTAGTATAGGATTAAGCACAGGCATCAAGATAGGAGAAAGGATGGCTCAGTGGTTAAGAGTATTTGAATTCATTGCAGGGGACCTAAGGTCAGTATTCAGCATTCGCTGATAGTCCATAAGTAACCCTGATACCCTCTTCTGGCGTTTTTTGGGTACTATGTATTCACACGGTGTGCATGCATCTTGCAGCCAAAGCACTCAAACATAAAATAAAAGTAAATATTTTAAAATGTAAACAATTTAAAAAGGGAGAGAAGCTTAAGTAAAGAATAGTAACGCATACCCTCAAGTGGGTGTGGACTTCTCAAGAATTACTGCATTTTTTTTTTTTTTTTTAGGTAAGAAGGAGAAAATATTTCTCAATGTTTATCCCTAGAATGAAATGCAAAAGGCAGCTCATAGGTTAGGGAGTGGTGGAGGGCTTGCCCTAGTATGTGCAAGGCCCTTCATTTGGTCCTAGAATTGAAGATTCTGCAAGGGCAACTCATCTTAAAGCTTAGCCATTCACTTTGCTATATATTTCTTCCCATGTAAAGTGACCTTGGAAGAGTGCTCTTCTAGCACACCTGTGTGCTAGGCTGGGTTTCCAGGATGCCCATGTGCTATCCCAACTTTCAGATTATAGTGTCTTCCCACATCTCCTTCATTGCTTTTCTTTCCTGCTATGTTTGCTATGTTTTTGTTGTTATTTTTGTTTGGTTTGGTTTTTCTTTTGAAGCCAGGGTTTTGCTATGTAGCTCAAACTGGCCTTGAAATCACAATTTCCCTGCCTTCATCTCCAAAGTGCTGGGATTATAAACATAGCCATTGTTTAGCATGCATAAGGCCCTGGATTTGAGCACCAGACATCAGTAACAATTTGAGAACCATGTTGGATGTGGCCATGGTCAGTTAGCTGAGTGCAGAAGTGCCGAAATACAACCAATTCTTTAAAAATTTAATCTTGTAAAGTTTAATATTGTTAGTCTGTGTGTGTGTGTGTGTGTGTGTGTGTGTGTGTGTGTGTGTGATAAAGAGTTCCTCATGAGCAGAAGCTCTGTTAAGTCAGTGTGTACCACTGCCTTGAGCCTGATTTGGAGAGAACAAGGGATAGTACCTGCCATGGTACTTGTGTGAGGGTCAGAGGACAGTTTTGGGGAGTTGATTTTTTCCTTCCACCTTTACCTGGGTTCCAGAGATCAAGCTGAGGTCTCCAGGCTTGCACAGCAAGAACTTTTACCCATCGAACCATCTTGCTGGTCCCCAATTAGAGTTTTTAATCTGAAGAAAAAATTTCAAATTTGAACATCATAAATATAAATGATATGTCATATCTGTTGAAGAAATTGGCTCTAAACCTACATGGATAACAACATTCAAGAACACTCAACTCCCTCAGACAAAAAACTCTCTCTCTTACACACACACACACACACACACACACACACACACCACATTTTTCTGTAGCTCTAGCTGGCTGGCCTGGAACTCAGTGTAGACCAAATTCACCTGGAACTCACAGAGCTCTGCCTGCTATGACTCCTGAGTGCTGTGATTACAAGCATGCACCATATACCCAGCCAAAGCATCATAATGTTTACATGTATACTTCTATTTAATTTAAAAGTTTTCTAGATAACTTATTATTCTTAACAGAATGTGATTACTGTGTGAGTATTTGTTCTATTGTTTAGCACACGAACAGGGCTGTATAGCTCTGGTACAGATGAGGCTGCTGTAGTAGTGTTTAGTGTATATAAATGACAACATCACATTTACAATATATTTTTAATCTCAATCTGAAGAATAGTCCTAAATTGTGGGTAGCTGACTGTGCTTGCTTATGCAATATTCTTTGGAGTGCATTCTTGAAAAAAAAATTGCTGCTCTTCTGTGAGCATTTTTGGATTACATAAATACCATGGACATGCTGTGATGGCTGTTCTTGGTTGTCACCTTAACTACCTCTGGAATTACCTAAAACCCAAGAGACCAGGTACACCTATCAGGGTCTTTTTTTTTTTTTTCTTCCTTGAATGCATTATTTGAGCTGGAAAGACCACCCTAAATCCAGATCTTCGAGGTGGGAAGATCCATCTTGAATCTGCCTCATATCTGATGGTAGCCTATATAAAGAACATGGAAGAAGGAAGTGCTTGCTCTTTGCCGGCTTACTCTCACTGCTAAGTTAACTTCTTCACTAGTAATAGAACATACCTTTTCAGGATTCCTGCATATACTGAAGACCAGCTGAGATATGCAGCCTGGTGGACTGAACAACCACCAGATTCTTGGACTTTTCATCAGGAGACAGCCATAGTTGGAACATAATCTGTAAGCTGCTCTAATATGTTCTCTCTGTGTGTGTGTTCATTTTATCAGTTCTGTTTCTCTAGAGTACCTTGAACAGCACACATACCAATCCAATGTCGTCGTCGACTTCTCCTTCCTTCTCCTTCTTCTCCTTCTTCTCCTTCTTCTTCTTCTCTTTTTTTCCACTATGAACTGTCCATATTTTGGCATTGTCCAAGGCTTGTTTCTGTGGTATACCTTGTATTTCCCCTCTACACTTTCCTATGGACGTACTCTTGCCTTCTAACATGCTGCCACTCCCTATCCCCTTTGGATGCTGGTAAAGATGCAATCATTAGGAAGAGCTCTTTCGTACACCTAGACATGGAGTTTATGGGGTTAAAAGTGTCTCTGCTTGGCTTGACCTGTACTGCCAGAGGCACTGGCACTGAGTGGGCATCCTGTCCTCTTCAAGGCCTCACTAATGCTACGTGGAATGTAATACTTCGTGTGTGACTAAGGTGCAGAATGGCATTACATTGCTGCTGAATTTCACATTTTCTAGATGAACACTGAATTTGATCTTCTCACATCCCAATTTCTCTGATCATTTTGGGCTGTTATAACAAAACATCTGAGGCTGCGTAACATAAATAAAGAAGTGTATTTGTTTCATGATGTGGTGACTAAAGGATGCCTATTTCCTGACAAGGACCTCTGAGCTGTGTTACAACATGATAGCAAAGCAGAGAGGGAACGGTCTACATGTGAAGGTCAAGTACATGGGGTGGCCTCTCCAGTAACTCATATTCTTAAGAACTAATTGACTGCTTGATAATATTTTTGCACAAGGTACACAGTTCAGAATGGATTTTTTCCCCATCTGTGATTTTCCCCCCATGTTAGCAGTCTTAATAGTTTCAGATTTTGGTTCTTTGGATACTGAGTCTGTGTTAGCAATACATTACCAATAAGCAACAGTAATATTTGATGCCTGAGTTTGCATCTCAATAATTCTTAAGAATATCATCTGCAAGAGGTTCAATACACTATTCCCAGACTTGCCACTCTGCATTCATGCTCCATGCAGCTTAAATTTCATTTTCTCTAGTAACAATCACAAGAAACAGCTCAACTTAAGTTTCCCTTATGCTTGCAAATGAAACAAGCTGAGGTTCCCCAAAAAGCACAACTTGTTTTATTCATAAAATTAGTAAATATGTACAAATATATATCATTAAGTGATTAATCAAAAGTCACATGGCAATGGGCAAGTCAACAGGGACACAGATTTTCTGCATGACAACGATCAATTGATTCCAAATGGAGTGCAGATAGTGAAATACATTTAATGCCTTGATCTTTTGAGAATTGTAGCCACCAAGAACTTAAGAAACGAATCCAATAAGGCTGTAATTATACCACGGACATTCTGTTCTCCACACACATCCCAAATAGTAAGATTACACGTTTCAACATCAAATTTACTAGTTTAGTGACCAAATATACTGCTAAATAATGTTTGAAATAAAAAAGAGAACTCCTTACACAAGTAAAACAATAAAAGAACAATACTAAATGGTCCCGATTTATGACATATCTGTAACAGAAAGTCAGATGTGGGAAGGAGAATGGTGGGGATGGACTTTCACATTTGGCAGACTTAAAACAGTTCTGGAGATGGAGGGTAGATGTACATCAGGCATTTAGAAGCTATACTTGCTTTTAAAATCACCGACTCCTCATTTGGGGCCACAAAGTACAAGCACCCGGCATTTCCACCTCTTCGTGTCGCTATCTTGACTACATAGGCATGTTAATCATTTTAGGAATTTCTGTCTACCTAACCTGTCTTATCCCGCTTCTGGGTTAAAGGTATAGAGATAAACCCCAGACCTTCAGTCACTCTGTCTTTCAGGAACTGCAGTCTCCCCTTACAGACCATCTCCCCAGTTATATATGGGGGATGGGCAACTATCTATGATATTGAGGGAGCATCCTGTAGTATGAATAATCTTATAGGACACGGAAAGCATCATTGTTAGCATCTGGGTTTGGAACCCACGACTGACACCATCAGGACAATGTGGTGAGCAGCTACCAGCTACTAGAGTGAGCAGCTGGGCGGGCCGACGCGTGACTACCAGGAAAGAGTATAGCAGCAAGGACCTGGAGGGAGGAGCACGCAGCTGCCAGGACCTGGATGGAGGACCGCGCAGCTGCCAGGACCTGGACGTCAGAGCGCACGGCAGCCCGAACCCCGCCCCGCGCGCGCGTGCCCGGCGTTGGCGCAGTCCGGGTCTGAGTCGTCGGCTGAGTCTTATCGGCCTCGCTCTCTGGCCGATTCCCGGCCCTTCTGCGCCCTCGCCGCCCGCGCCCTCGTTGGTGCCGCCGCCCGCAGCCCTGGCGCTCCCCGCGGGCCCCGCTGAGGCCGTCTGCGCCTTGTGCCAGCGCGCGCCCCGCGAGCCGGTGCGCGCCGACTGCGGCCACCGTTTCTGCCGGGCGTGCGTGGTGCGCTTCTGGGCGGAGGAGGATGGGCCCTTTCCATGCCCCGAGTGTGCCGACGACTGCTGGCAGCGCGCAGTGGAGCCCGGCCGCCCTCCACTCAGCCGCCGCCTCCTGGCACTCGAGGAGGCAGCTGCGGCGCCGGCACGCGACGGCCCTGCCAGCGAGGCCGCGCTGCAGCTGCTGTGCCGTGCCGACGGAGATCCGCTATGCTCCGCCTGCCGCATGGCCGCGGGCCCGGAGCCGCCCGAGTGGGAGCCGCGCTGGAGGAAGGCGATGCGCGGCAAGGTGCGCAAGGGGCCCCCACTCACTGCTCACCTTTGTGCCTTACTCACCTGGAGTCAGTCTCTCGATCAGTGCCCTTTTACCTCTCCCGCATGCTATGGGTGTCCAGCGTCCTCCCCACCCCGAGTTTCCGCGGTGCCCCTCAGCCCTGCACCTTTCCTACCCCGGGGGTCTCTGCCGTGCCTAGTGCACTTGAATCATGGAGTCTCTGAGTTCTGTTATACCTCCCCCAGCCCCTGCTGTGATCCTTGAGCCCTCACCTCTAGAGCATTCTCCTCTATACCCTTTTCATACCAGATCCCAGGCCTACCTGTTCCTTAATCTCTGTACTGCCTTTTGACTGTCACCCCCTCCCCCCTTTTCCTCCTAAGACCCGGTTCCCATTCCCCAAGGCCTCTCCCTCCTATCCGGGTGTGACCTCATTGAGACAAGCCCCACCCCCTACTTGCTGGTGGCGCTCAGAGATTTGTGCTGGAGACATGAGTGTGGGCTTCTGTCTGCCAGTTACCCCTTGCAGCCCTCTGAGGTACTGCAAATCTACCTCATTCTGGAACCTTCTGTGTTGTGCTCTCTTGGCTATTGCATGTGGCACCTGCCATTGGGGACAGAAACCGCCCACTACAATATGGGCAAAGCTGGGGGCCCTGGGGTCTGGAGTATCATCCCTGGCCCAGAGAGGTCCAGGGTGTCTATTTCTGAGTAGCCAGGTAGGATGACATTGATGACTGGCCTCTGCCTCGCAGGAGAAACCACTAGCTTAGTGTGTTTGAGGGTGCCTTATGTTCTGGGATGATGCACCATGAGCCCCAGAAATAAAATTTAGTCACTATTAGTGAACAGTGTTGAGGTGGAGGCCAGCACGTACATCTGGGTCCCAACCTGGGGTAGGTGTTCTGCTGCTAGGGTTGTCCCCTTCCTAAGACAGCAATCTCCACAGAGACCAAGCGGAACACAGACGAGAGAGGAAAGCCATTGCCTGGCTCAATATTTAAAAACAATGGACTCAACACAGCAAACCTAGACTTGTCTGCTGTGTACTTCATTCTGTCAAAGTGGGAAGCACAGGAGGCCCTTTTAAAAAACAAACGGCTTCCAGCGGCCAGATCTGGGTGTCCCATCTATAACCAGCTTCTCTCTCCCAGGAGAACAAGGGGTCCGTGGAAATCATGAGGAAGGACTTAAATGATGCCCGGGATCTGCATGGTCAGGCAGAATCAGCGGCTGCTGTGTGGAAGGCAAGTGGGGTGTCCTGGATATGGGGAACCAGCAGGGCAACTGAACTGGGCTGCTGTTTGCCTGGCTGGCTGGAGGAGGGGCCACTGTGTGGACTTAATGCCAGGGTGCTGTACTGGGTCATACCTAGCCAGAAGTCAGTAGGGGGGCTCTTTTCCTTATGCTTTACAAGAGGGTGGTTTTTAAGCTTTGGCTTCCTTTTTCCTACTCCGACACTTTGTAGTACTTTTGACTCTGACCAACCCCAGTGGAACTTGCTGTTTTCTGGCTACTGTACAAAACCACAGACATTATTGCTGTGGAGGTTGGAAGTCCATAGGCAAGCCATGGCAAGTCTGTATCTGGTCAGGGCTGCTTTCCGGTGGTCTTTCACATTGTACCATCACATGGAGGGTGGAAAGGAGCTCTCTGGGGGTCCCTTTTACTAGGGTACTAATCCTGTCTCTAATCTGGTAGGAGTGACCACTTCCCAAAGGCCCTCTACTTTTAACACCATTACCTGGAGGTTTCAGGGACTTGGGGGAAACACAGAAAGTTGGTACTTAGCAGCTTGCTTTCATGCAATTCCATGGCATTAAACAACAAGGTGACATCATGTTAGTCTTTTAAGGTTACTTGTCGACAAAATGACACATCAGTTTAAACTCTGGTGACTTTCTACATATTAATTAAAGTTCATTAGTTTCCACTCCCCCTCCCTTTTTTAAGAACAGAAAACATCAAGGCTGAAGCCACCTGCTCTACCCCTCACAAAAACTGGAAGGCTTTGAGGCTGTCCAGCTTTCAGGGAACCCACAGTCATTCCAAGGACAAGTTCTATCACATAGAAGCTTTTACTACAAAGATGAGGATCCTGTAGTCCAAGGAACTTGGACAGACAGAAGTTACCTGCCTGGCATTTACATCCTTTTTCCCTTGTGTGGTCCAAGCAAGGCCAGGATGAAGATCTGAGAGAAGTTAGAAGTGTGTCTTTTTTTTTTTTTTTTTTTTTTTTAGTTCTGTTGCCGAGGGTGGCAGGATGAATTTTTGCTCTCAGGTTTACAGGTTTACCAGAGGCTATAGTAGGAAAAGTGGCCAGTAGAAGGTCACTATGCATTCTCACAGGACTTTGGTTCCAGAGTTCATCTATGAGAAGATGTGAGTGTGGGCCTTACATAAGCTGAGCAATGTATATGTGGGTTCTATATCCAGGGACTCAGTCAACTTCTTATCGGAAATGGGAGTGTCGTTCATGGGTGGGATGCTTGTCCAGCATGTATGACTCTAATATTAAATTACACAAAGCAATCACTGCAAATAGGTTGTAAGCCTGTGGTTGTGTGGTTGTACTTAATGCATAGGCTTCTTTCTAGTAGAGTAACTCTTTATGTTGTGGTAGGTAAATTGTGTCAGTTACAGATGATCTGCAGCATATGGAAGGGTGCAGATATGTGCCAGTGCTATGCCATTCTATAGAAGGGACTTGAGCATGTTTACACTTTGGTGTCTTGGGGATGCATTTCCTGCAACCAGCATGAAAAACAGTGCAGGGGAGACAAAACATTGCCTTAAGAGACGTTCAAGTGGTATGGGGGGGGGGGATCCTGAGGACACAACCCAAAGAAGCAGTCACAATCTAACAAGCGCACTGACTTGGACAGAGAAGAGAAGGTTGTGGACAAGTGATTAATTTGGGAGGCATAAAAGAAAATATTTTAACAAGGTCAGCGGCATCTTCTCAACCTCCAGTTTATCCTTGATAAGAATGCCAACCCTTTTGCTTTGTACAGGGGAGAGTGCATTAGCCTTTTTCTATTGCCGTAACAATAGAGTACTATGTAAAGAAGGCAAGTTATTTATTGGTCTAGAAGCCGAACCATCAAAAGGCTCTATCTGCTGGTCTCTAACGAGGGCCTCATTGGAAGTGTGTAGATCCAGGAGTACTCTCTCTGTAATAGCTGCATTGGGAACCAGCGGGTAGCCTGTGAGACCAACATCCATCCCTTCTGAGGGCACACCCATCAGTGACCTAATCAATCCTCACCTGTCAGCGCCACCTCACCACACTGGGACCAAGCTAACACCACCTCGAGGGACCACAGGGGCATCTTTCATGTGGAGATTTCACTTCTTGCTTAGGAACACAATGCGAGAGAATCTTCTCTCACCTCTCCTGTGATTTTTTTTTTTTTTTTTTCCTTAAGTAGGTTTAATTCAGAAGACCCACCCAGCATATTTTGAGGTGTCATATTTTTAAATTTCTTTGAGAGTTGATGGGGGCGTTCTCTTTCTTTGGACACAGTAGCAGTGGGTGTGGGCCATGGTGGACTCTTGTCCCTTCTCCCACTCACCCTGCAGGGCCATGTTATGGACCGAAGAAAGAAGGCCCTGACTGACTACAAGAAGCTTCGGGCCTTTTTCGTGGAAGAGGAGGAACACTTTCTGCAAGAGGCTGAGAAGGATGAGGGTCCTTCGGAGGATGATGAGCAGGCTGACCCGGCAGAACGCTTCCGGTCCCTACTGCAGGCGGTGTCAGAGCTGGAGAAGAAGCACCGGAACCTGGGCCTTAGCATGCTTCTTCAGGTACCACCTGCTGGGGATGAGCACCTCTCCGCATCACATCTCTGGCCAGCTCAGAGCCTCAGTGAAGGGAGACTACCATAGGGAAAGGTCAGAGCCACAGGCTCTCCTGCTCCTGCTGTGGCCCAGGTCTTAATGTCAGGGAACGAGTTTGGGAAAGTGGTAGGAAGGAGCTTTGAGTTGAGGAAGATATGAGATGGGAGGGATATTTTCACCCCTCAGACTTGTGGGCAGGAAAAGCCACCCACTGCCCCTATCCTTATCTCTCCCCCAAGGGTTAGGCCAACATCTGAGGCTGGAGGCAGCCCACTTGGCAGTCTGAGCCTGGTCTTGTAATGTGGTATCAGCTTGTAGTTGAGAGGTCCCCCATTCCACATACCTATTAGCTATTTGGGGGTTATGCAGTCCCTGTGGTGACGAGTGATAAATATATATATATATATATATATCTCGCCTTGGAGACACAAGTTTTAGACCAGTTTATATGGGTTGTCAAATCACAGTGGTTCTAGGTGTGTTGTGCTTAGGAGAGTAGTAGTCTGTCTCGCTGCCTCATCTGTCTCTTTCTATGTATTTCTGTCTCATTGTCTTATCTCGGTATCTCCCTTCATGTTCTTTGCCTCACCGTCTTTTCCTTTTGTCTCTTGTTTCTCCCTTTCCCTGCAGTGATGAAGCTTGTGCAGCAGGCTGGCCCCCTGGAGCATGAGGCAGAAGGAACCATCTTTACAGCTGGCCTGCAGTACCCCTATCTACATCTCTCAGGCCTCTCTGCCTGGCACCACCCTTCATCCTGGACAGGTCCCCATCTCTGTCAACACTGATAACATTGGCCTGGGATGAAGCATCAAAGGTGCCCTGCTTTCGGTCATCCATATAGTTCCATTTCTTAACAGTGTTTTTAGTTTTCTTTGGGGCATGAATGTGCTCAGGCCTGTACCTGTCCCTAGTAGAGACCAGTCCTGGGATTTCCTTCCCAGTGTGTCCCAACCCTGCCTGAGATCACATGGCAGCTCTGAAGCCCCTGCTTGTTTAGCCATGGCACAGGGCCTAGTGTGACAGTGTCACTCTAGCATCCAGGAATCAAACTTTGCACCTTCCCCATTGGTACTCATGACAGGATTGGCTCACCAGACATCCCTCAGCAAGGCTTTGGGGCATACCAGTTACAGTCAGCCTGCTTTAGTGCCAGAGAATAGAGATGCAGGAGGCCCTGGGGTATGGCTGGGACCCGACTCTTGATGGTGGTGTGGGGAAGCATTCTCCACCCTCCAGAGGCTGCCCCTTCCCTTTGGGTCTTGCTGTGCCAGATCCTGGGAGTTGTCTTCTGCTTTGCTTTCCTAGCCTCTTTCCTTCTAGCTTGTGCCCCTTGGGTGTCACCGTCATCCTCTAAGTGCTCCCTATGGTTACTCAGCTCTCATAAAAGGGACCTTCTTCCCTGCAGAAGAGCGGCAGGGGTGGCATCTCCAAGCCACCTGGTGCTTCACTTTGATGTACTTTTGGCTTTTTCTCACCTCATTTTCTCCAGTAGGTGAATTTCACAAAACTTGTGGCGTAGCGGTAGCGTGGTTGCCTGCAGCATTGTGTGTGTAGATAACTAGTCCAAGAAACAAATCCCAGCAGAGAGGAAAGAACAGGTCAGGGGCCAAAGATACAGATCTATGTAAGTTTGGGGGTAATGATGTTCTGTCCTCAGAAGGCCCTGGCCTTGGGCGTAGTGAGTGGCTCCAGCTTGACTCCCAGGTGGGCTGGGTTCTCAGTGCTGAATAAAATGGTTTGCTCCAGCCTCTCTGTTTTAATACATCCTAGTCTCTGTCCACACCGATGCTTTCCCTACGCTTGACTGGGTTCCAAGGTCTTTGGTGAAAGCAAAATAAGCAGACTGTCACTGAGACAGTCAGGGAGAGGGGACAGGTGTCACCCTGAACCCAGTGTCAACTGTGGGAATTACAGCCAGGAAGCAGGACCCATCAGTGATTAGAAAGGCCAAGAGCAGACATCATGCTGAGGGAACTCCAGCTTAGCCCACTTGATTGGGTCCTGCAGAGGGCTGGCCAGGTGAGCAGATGTACTCAGGGCTGGAGGATAACAGACTTGTCCACATTCATATTCAGGGTGATGGGTGCCCAGGATGGGCCTTCCCTGCAGGCAAAAGAGCTTCCCCCTGAGTGCCATGGAAGGACAAGACAACAGGAACAGAGGTGCAGGTGGATGAGGGGAGCCCTAAGTAGTGTGCCCCCTTTTGACAGACTATGACCTCTGTTGGGGACAGAAGTGGAAATTAGACTGATTGGCAGATGTAGAGAATGCCAGGCAATCTGGAACTGGCCATCTATATCCCAGAAACAAGTGATGGGGTTATCCCTTGTATTTTAGCATTGGTCCAGAAAACCATATGACCTTGTCTAAGTAAACACATCCAAACCAGTGGATGTGCCCCAGAGACTGCCCCTCCTTCCTGCCCCTGTGACTCCTGGCAGACTAACTGGATGTGTGAAGTACAGTCTTAAGTTGAGAAAGCCTCAGGGTTGCACCACAGTTCTTTATGCCAGTTTGCAGCCTGCAGTTCACACTACTATCAACAGCACCCTAAATGGATGCCACATACCCTCCAGAATTCATACCATTGAGCACCTCAGCACCAGAACCCACTAGATCCCTCACTGGAGAGGAATCTTGTACCTCTGTGTCCCTCCTGGCACTGGCCAGCTTTGCCCTCTTTCCCCATTGTACCATCGAGGGAGCTGAATCAGGTTTGGTGGCAGATTCCCTATCTGGTGAGACCTACCACGTAGTTCATAAATGTCCTTCCTGAGCTTTCACAGGGGAAAAAGAACAAAAGCTCTCTAGGAGGTGGATCTGTGAGTTTGAGGCCCTCTTGGTGTACAAAGTGAGTTCTAGGACAGCCAGGACTACACAAACCCTGCCTCAAAAAAACCAAAACAAAAATTCTCGGGTGCCTTATAGCACTAACCCTGTTTGTGAGGCTCTACCGCATTCACCATATCATCTCCCAAGGTCTCGACTTCCTATTACTACCATTTGAAAGAGATTTCACAGTAACACAGCAGAAGCCTAAAGGCAGAATCCCAAAGACAGGAGCTATTCCCCAACTTCACTGCTGGATGAACATCAGCTTTTAAGATTTTGACAGATTTGGGGGCACTGTGACCCAAGGACATACCTTCCCAGGTCCTCAAGTTACAAGACAGGCCCCTGGGGTTCCTTTGCTAGGGAGGTGGAGGGTCATGGAGGATAGAGCCCATGGAACAGAAGAGATGAACTGGACATGTTTTATACGAGTGGCACTTCAAGGCAAATTGAAGTGTACATGTCATGTAATCCGTACAGATGTGTCCATCCTTTTGACACTTGTCTACAAAGGTAAGTACAATTTGGTAGTGTGCTGCATTGATTTGATAGGTGTGTTTTGTCTGCACCTGCTCCGTAAGACTATAGGTGGATATGCTAAGAGACCATGTCAGGCATCAGTGGACTCCCAGTGATTTTGTTTTTGTTAGGGTCTTCCCCATATGGAAAACAGCCAGGTTTTAGGCACGTTTCAGACTTAACTTAGGGTTTTTGCAAGAGCAGTAGCATGCTGAGTAGAGCAGGTGAAGAGCCTTACAAGTAATGTGCATGTTAGAAAACAGGCCAATACAGCAGATTAATGAAGAATATGTGTCCTTAGTGCCTGCCCACTGGGGGCTGATCCTGGGACCTGTGCAAGTCCTCATCTGTAGCCCACACCCAGTGTCTGCTGTTCTACAAACCCCCTCTAGGTTACTTCTTGGTCTATTATAACTACTACTATGAACTAGTTTCATGTGGTTGGGGGGAAATGGTGAGGTCAAAGGTATAGAATACACTATAGATAAGGGGGTTGGAATCTTTGTGTGTGTTTCTGGTAATTTTCTCTAATTGCATCCATAGATGTGGGGCCCCTGAACAGGCCGACAGTATTCCAACATACAAGCCATTTAGTTGGGCCTTGATCCAGAGGTTCTCTGGCAGCACCTAACACTGCAGACTAAAGATGAAGTTTTTTTAGCTCCCTTTGGGTACTGTTTGTGGGGTTCTGGGTGAAACTGGCATTTCTTCCTCAGCAAAAACTGGCTGTGACTCTAAGGTCTTCTGCCCTAATCACCCCATAGTTAAGTGAGGGTTGGTGGCAGCTGTCCCCAGGCAGGTAAGTCAAATGGCCATTCTCATACCCACCTAGTTTTCTCAAGTGAAGACACCCCCATCCCCACTAACCAGAAGACTTCTGGAAATCCTGGGAAAGGGAGGGTTCCACAAGTTTTGTGCTACTTGATGCCCACATGAGTGTCTATTTCCATAAGAAGTTTAATTTGGAGGTAGGTAATTGAGTCGAAACAAAGGTTCTCTGTAAACTGGTTCATGAAAAGGAATGTGCTCTGAAGGAATTGCTAGGAGACAAGGCTGTGCTGGCTTTAGAGGCAGAATAACGACCGAAACGCCTTAGATACAGCACACAAGCCGGCTAGGATTAAACTCTCACAGAACAAATAGCCTGCTTTTTAGCAAGATGCCACTTTGGGGGCTGGTGGGGTGCAAGTGAGGGCAGGCGAACTTTATAGCACTATAACAGCTGCAAGGACTCCTTGGACAGGCTGCCCTGAGCATCAGGTATACTGTGGGGTTGTGACAGAACAAACATTTCTTTCCCATTTTGCACAGGCAGCATCTGAATCCCTGTGGTTCCTTTCATAAATGTAGAGGTTGGTATTCTGAAGACTGCTAAAATTTCCATTCCTTGGCCTCAGACCTTCAGCCTAAAGGACATGAGCAAATCTCAGGATATGCTGCTCTGGGTTGTTTTCTCTGTCTCTGTTTTGTGGCCTGAGGAAGAGGTTCCAGGGGTATATGGTGACCTTTGATTACAGACCCAAGGTCAATATGCTCAGTCAATCAAAGCATCATGCCTCCCATTCATTGCAAAAGAATGCTTTACCCTTTCTAAGCGGGCTCCCCACCCTGCCCTGTGGGGCTGGTGTATATACTCCTAAATCTTATTAGTTGGTGTTATTTAGCCAGGGTCGCTCCTTCCTTTTGGACAGCTCTGTATCCCGGCAAAGAAAAATCACCAGTCTCTAACCTAGAAAAGCATGGATCTCTGAGGAACAGGTCCCTGAGATAATGCAATTCTGTCATAGAATCCTGGCCATATGCAAATGAGGTGACTTCCTGGACTCTTTTGATTGGACAAGTCTCCAGAGCAGCCAATGGGATTTTCACGTTGCATTTCGTGCCCGAGGGCCCGATAGTCTAATGAAGCGAGAGCGTTAGGTTGTAAGCTGTTTATTCATTTCTGTTCGTCTGCTTCCTGTTTCTGTCTCCAACTATGTGGACCGCGAGAGCCTTGTTCCCCCTACCCGTCATCATGCTCTGGTGACTCAGGTGTTGCAGCTTTTCTCCCCCTCCAAACCACCTCCAGAGTGGAGGTCGGTGAGCCGCGGAGCTGATCACCGCACAAAACATTGTCTAACCCAGCACTCAGCAATGCAGGGGAGGTCACAAGGCTACCAGCTACAGTGATTTTGTCCACCCTCAGGGCCCACCAAAGGCTCTTTTCAAAATTAACCGGAATCGTGAGGTAGCTTAATGGACAAGCTTTTACGAGCTGCCCTGTAGCCATTTCTACCTGGGCCACCGTGGGGAATCTCCCCCTGGTGGCCTGGCAGAAGTATTACCGTGCAGCATGCTAGAGAGCGGTTTGTCTGAAACAGCTGGGGTTTACTCAAACAATTCTTGGATGCTAAACAGTTTCGTTAACTTGATTCTCGCTAACTTTGACCCCAGTACTGAGAGATAGGTTAGCCAGTACTACAAGTCTCAAACTAATTTTTAAAAAACCGTATTGAGATGTTGGCAGTGACAATTAATTGCGTAGCTCCCCCCCCATTTTGCTGTACTTGCAAGCTGTATGTATTATATGTATGTATGTATGTACTCTCGATATAGCTTCTAAGTGCTTCAAAATTAGTTCTGCTCCTGACTATTGATACTTGTTGAAACTGCAATAATTTGAAAAGGCATACTTTTAATCTACATCTGTGTTTGGCTTTGACTCATTTTCAAGACCAATATCCAACCTTCTGGACAACTATACACTTACCAAGTGTAGGGGTCTTAGCGGCTAAAGCCACCCTCACTTGAGGCTTTCGTCCACCTCCTCCGGGTACATATATAATGTGGTGGGCCATGAGTCCAAGTTGCCTGATCCCAAAATAAATAACGAACGGGACCTGAAAGCACAATGACTGTTCATCATCTGGGCCAACGCAGGCAAATCCCAGTAGAGGCCGGCTCTCTGACTTAAGTCCTATGTTAACTGACTAACTTCCACCAAAGGACAAATGTTAACGCGTAGGGTCCCGCAAGTGCTTGGCTAAACACCCCCTTTCGATCTGGTGCCCTCCTTGGGGAAAATTATGCTGCCAAGTTTCCATTGCTCTTTTATTTAATCTACATGAGGAAAAAATAAAATATGGCCGACACTTTGCTCTGTGTACTAATACTGATACTTACCCTTGATTAAGATATCAGTTTTAGCCCATTTCCATCCATTTTCAAACTTTCAGGAAGATTGTGAAACAGACTGAAGCAAGCAAGCGCTCCCAGTTTTTACAGCCAGTTGTTTTTCACCCTCATCTAAAGTTCTTAACAGATGTTACAGAAGTCTCAATTTTATATTTACGTGTAGACTGTGGCCATTTTTTAAAAGAATATTTTAACTTTAGCTGTTTATTTTACTGATAAA